GAAGAAGAAGAATGCGAATTAAATTTCATGTAAAAAAGTGTTTGAAAAAGAAAGGAAAAAAACTGTGTTTGAATGTTTTTCTGTAGTGGATGTATTAATTTTGTGTACTCATCATTATCTTTTGCAAAAACATGTTCTTAACTGAAAAGAAAATCAAGAATGTCACTCGAAGTTGTAATTTTTTTTGCTTCAGTGATCTTTATTAGTTTTGTATGTTAAAAAGTGATTTATTGGTTTACAGTTTAATATAATTTATAAAATATTTCACGAATTTACTTTGATTTTTTTTTAACAGAACAAAAAGATTTTACATTAATTACATTCAGGAAAGAAGAAATTGCTTATGCGAATATAACTGAATGTGTTTTGTTGTCGTATCTCTGTTTGGAATTCTTGAAAAGAATATTTTACCGGCAATCTGAATGTTTATGTTACAAATAAGGTAATTAATGAGGAAAATACCGCTTCAATTTTGCTTTCTTTTATTTTTTCACTTTGAGCTGACCCAAACGTTGTTCTGTTAACAATAACTGTTTGGTAATTTTGAATGTTGCCGAATCAAATGAGTTGAATTTTTAAAGCTTTAGAACAGCAATCGGGAAAAGAACTTGGGTTTTATAACGCGGTAACAGTCACATGGGTTTCAGGAATTTAGAAGAGTGGATAGCATGACTACGATTAAATGTTAGAAGGTTCCCGCTCTAGAAACAAATCAGGTTCTCAGTAGGTGACTGTAACTGGAGGGTAAAATTAATCCTAACCAGGTAGAAATCGTCAAGTATGACTAGAATTGGTTGAGTGTAGTTTGATAATGGTTAAATATAGGAAAGCGAAAGAAAGCAGTCAGGGGGAGTGAGAGCTCAGGTTAACTAACCAACCCTTTGTTGTTGTTGTTGTTGTTGTTTGGATGGCAAAAAAAAAAAAAAATTGAGGTGGATGTGTAGCAAAAATTTTGTACTCTTCATGGTTTAGTGCTCAAAAGGGCTTTTAGTTGAGAAAAAGACAGAAAAAAGCAAAATTTTTTTTTTGCTGTTCGGCTTTATTTGCTCTTTCTGATTTTTTTTATTAACGTGCATTTTCCTAAACAAATTCATTTGCACAACCAATGCTTCTTTGCTCCAAAATCTTTAAAAAAAGGTATCTGAACTTTAGTTTTCAGTTACTGTTTTGTCTTCAAAAAAATTAACAATTAAATAATTGTTATTGGCGTTCGAAAAAATGCTCTATCTATAAGACTATTTTGCCTTTTTGCATTTAAACAGCTCGTTAACTGTTTTTTTTTTTTATTTCTTTGGTGTTATGCCTTTAATTCATTGCGTTTATCATATTCGTTTAATAAGGCTCTATAGTTTGATTCTCCTTATCTCATTTTAAATTTGTTTATTTATGTAGTATTTTTATATAAATAACATATTGGGAGAAAAAAGAAGTTTTTTTGTGAAAAAAAAAACTACATAGTAGCGAGAAAATTATTATTTGGTTTTGTCACCAGTTGGTGTATTCTTATGGCAGAAGACTGAGGATAC